CACGCTTGCCTGTGCCACGTCTGCCGTCGGCCATCGTCAACAAGGACATGCCACCAGTGAGTTGCGCACCTCGCGATGTGCACCACGGATGACGCCACAACTTGCTGCGCCTGTACTAGCTCCCCACAGATTGGCGTGAGTCCATCGAGACTGCGCTCAAGCGCGAGAAACGCTACGCGGTCTACCTCTCCCCGCCTCCATCGCCTTTACCGCAGGACGACGCGGACAGTGGGTCGAAATCACTGGTGCTCACTTTGGTGGAGCAGCAGGATGTTGTGGTGGGTGCCGTCGACGGCAGATCCGCGTCGGGTCGAACGGGCTGACACCTGATGTTCGCCGCGCCGCGACGTGCAGTCCCTCGAGCCACCGCACGATGATATCCAGCCTATACAGTGCGTGCAACGTACACCAGCGTCGCCAGCATTGGCCCGCCGTCTCAGTCAAAAATCGTTACCACGGGTGCGTGGAACTTTTCATTTGGGCCGATCGTATTCATATCGACCTATCGCGCACGATTGCAGATCTACAGGCCCCCTACACCGCCACTTCCAGCACACAATCCCAAGTTGCGTGCTACCGCTCGGTGTTATGGAGGCTCCGAGGAGAGCATCACCACCACGGTGAGAGAAGCACATCCGCGCACGCCCTTGCGTAGCTGAGACGTCCCATCTGCAGCTGCACAACGGGTCGATGCACGGAGAGCGGCAGAGGGCTACATCAAGTCCCGACATCTTTCCTGAAAAGGCCCCTGATGCCTCAAGGAAAGCCGACCTCCAAAAGGTCAAGCGGCCTTATGGCCTCGCTTCGGCCGGTAATGAGCTGCCGGGCAAGCCAGCTGCTGGCGGGTGTCCTCGCACCTACCAGGTCAGCGCGACGTCCATGTCAACTGGCAGCAGGTCGTCCTGTGGGCGCTCGTACCTGGCAAGCGACGCATGCCTCGGCGTGTGGTATGCCTTGAAAGGGTGGGGGCTTCATGTCCGGGCGAAAATGAGCCATGCAGGAAGGTATTGACTGCTATCCACTATGAGCCACGGCCCTCGATCGGGCGTCTGCATATCCTTATTACTCTCCATCCCGTACGGACATGATGCTTCGACACTGAACTTGTAGTAGCTTAGCTGTAGGTTTCTCTGTACTGGTTACACCATATTTTTGTTGGGCCGCTGCAGTGCCCTCCATATTCGTCAAAATGGGCCAATCAATATGCGGGCGTGTGTCAACGATTAGTACTGACGCGCATCGGCCACTGCGTGCAATCACGGCTAACTCCACTTGCCACACTCGTCCTGCACACACCGCCGGCCTGCACGCGGAACACCCTCAGCAGCCGCAAACTCTGCTATCTGCTATGTGTTTACATTACTGATCCCTCTCAACTCGTGCACGATTTCAGAGACCGGCATACACTCAGGCTGGTACTACTACTGAGTAATCTCTTCCTGGTTCTCTGCGCTGCCTCCGGACACCCTCCACGCGTCGTGCACATCGTTTCCGGAACCGCTGACCTCATCACACACCCACCTACCCGCCCTGGAGTCGCATGGGAGGCCAAGACGAACCCGGGAGGCCCTCCGCGCGGCAAATATACGAAGAGGTGCTCTCCGGGGCGCGCCCGCGCCCCTTCGTACCGCGCCTGCGCTCCGACCCACCGCCGTATCAGCCTATCCCGCACAGTCTTCGAGAGTTCCGCCAGCAGGAAGGTGAGGAGCGTCGGCGGGAGCGTCTGCGCGCACTATGGCGTCGTCTGCCGAAGAGGGACGAGAGCCCTGAGGTGGACGACGAGGACATCGCGCGGGCGTACCCTGTCAAGAGCGATGTCGACCTTACCGCGGAAAGCGCGAAGCAGCTGGACGAAATGTACGAGGACGAGCTGCTCGGACGATGCGGTGTACGCTCGCGCGGGCCGTTCTCAAAACGTGTGTCCTGGGCAGAGTTCGAGAAGTACGCGGACGCGAAGGAGGCTGGTAAGTCAGGTCCACATATGCCGACGCGCTGCTTGGTGACGTTGGACAGAGCTTTGGCATATCTTCCACGACGAACTTGACCTGGATGGGAATGGACACCTCGATGCTGAAGAGCTGGAGCTCGCCCTCCAGAAAGCAGGTGAGCAGCTCGCGATCTCTACCCACCAAAAGGAATCCCTTAGCGTTTGGCAGGCATCAAGCTCTCCGCCTCCACACTGTCCGAATTCATGACATTCCTCACATCCTCACCACACTCCCACGCGATCAACTTCAAGGAATTTCGGGACTTCCTGCTGCTCATGCCTCGCAAAGCATCGCCAGAGGAGATCTATCGATACTACAAGGTTCGCAAGTACATGGGTGACGACGGCAGGGGTGCGGCACGTGTCAATATGGAAGGTAAGATCGACTGGGAGGGCGACAGGGATGCTCTGACCGCTATTCCCATGTAGGCGACGTGACTCTAAGCGCAGAAGACCTATCCCTCGAGCAACCACATGTCACTCCGGTGGCCAAGGAAATCCCGCCAATACCCGTAGACCATAGATCACCGTATGAGGATGATGAAGACGACGAGGAATATGACGATGAGTACGAGGAAGAAGAGCATCCTCACAGTTGGCTCGGAGGATCGACCGCGGTCAGGTTTCTCCTAGCGGGAGGAATCGCCGGAGCAGGTAAGACTAGGTCGTATGAAGATCCCACGCATGCTTATCCATGCCGCGCAGTGTCGCGGACGTGTACGGCTCCATTTGACAGGCTGAAGATATTCCTCATCACTCGACCGCCAGAGCTCGGCGGTACATCTCTGACGCCTCAAGCACCAGCGCGAGGGCTCAAGGCCATCGTGAGTGCTATAGCCAGGATATATGCGGAGGGGGGAGTCTTGGCTTTCTGGACCGGGAACGGTCTTTCAGTAGCGAAAATTCTACCGGAGTCTGCCATCAAGTTTCTTACATACGAGTCCTCCGTCAGTCTTTTTTCCCTTCATTTGTCTTGCTCATTCTTAACTTGCGTTCTGCGTAGAAACGCATGTTCGCCAAGTACTGGGATAAGGTCGATGACCCCCGAGACATCAGTGGTGTGAGCCGATTCATGTCTGGGGGCATGGGAGGCATCACTAGTCAACTCGGTGAGTCGCCCTCCCCACATGTGCGCCCTACACTCGTTGACGTCATTACAGCCATCTATCCCATAGAGACCCTGAAGGTTTGAGCAGACCTTACTTGCGTGGGATTCAGGCGCTGATTAGGCAATGTAGACTCAAATGATGAGCAGTGCGGGCGAGCCAAGACGCTCCCTTCGAGAGGCGGCACGTCGTGTGTGGCAATTAGGTGGTATCAGGGCATTCTACCGTGGACTTACCGTAAGCGTGCGGCATACACGTAAAGGACACATGCTGACTCCCGGGTTGCATAGATCGGCCTCATTGGCGTCTTTCCGTAAGGCCTAGACTCCGCTTCAGAGTGGCTCACTCTCCTGATGCATATCGGCACAGATACTCTGCGATCGACATGAGCACCTTTGAAGCACTGAAGCTCGCGTACCTCCGATCAACAGGGAAAGATGAGCCGGGGGTACTCGCGCTGCTTGCGTTCGGCAGCGTCTCAGGAAGTGTCGGCGCCACCAGCGTATACCCTTTGAATCTTGTCAGGACACGTCTCCAAGCGTCTGGGTCGTCCGGGCATCCAGAGCGATACACCGGCATGCTCGATGTTGTCCAGAAGACGTACGCCCGAGACGGCTGGCGCGGATTCTACCGGGGGCTGTTACCTACACTGGCGAAGGTCGGCCATCCTCTTCGCCTGGCGTATCAGATGCACCCTTGCTGATGCCGGTGTCTCCGACCAGGTGGTTCCTGCCGTATCTATATCGTATGTTGTGTATGAGTCGAGCAAGCGAAAGTGAGTCCCCCAGATCTGATACATACGTAGAACACGTCTCTGACGTGCACATCTGCAGGTTGGGCGTGTAGATGCTTTCATTTTGCTTTCGTGTCGTTCGGACATCCCATGACCCTTAGAGCATTTATTATTCACTCCGACAACCGTGCATTGTATCCTCTACCCACAGCTTATTCCGGAATATACAAACACTAATGGCCATCGAGACGTCCAGAAATCACTAACCGTTCCGTGACTCTGGTGCATCTGTTTTTCGCTGGACCAGTCATATTGGAGGTACGGACGATGTACCGCTCAACGTAAAGCGGGATCATATATACAGGTGCACACGTGTTACATAATACAGCAAACCTACGTCAGTACTAGTGTTCCCTCCTGTCCGCATTGGCAAGGGTGTATGCAGGACGAGAACCAGAACTTGCCATCGTAGGACCTGCTCCTTACGTCATTTGCCTACTTGGAGCATGGAGTATCGGCCTAGATACTCTCAGCCATTCACCCTGGAAGAGGCGAGGCAACTGGCTGTGCCCATAATCACGGAGGGTGAGCACCGCGCTCCGACGCCTCATCTGATGTGCATCTCTATAGCTCACAAGGAGCAGAAATATCTCGTCTGCAGAATTCCCTCGCGCATCTCGACAGGACGCAACGCGAACTCGAAGATGCACTTACTACTACCCCGGGCGATACCGACCTAGAACAGGCCTTTGAGGAGAACGAGATTGTCATGTAAGCATATCCGGGACTACTCGTTGTATAGGGCCGATGAACCATGCCCCTTCCAGTGGTTCACAGAAGGAAAGAATCACGATTCTCCGAATGGTCTTGGTCGAGAAAGGTGTGCCGATGAGTGCACACTACGACCTGCAACCGCCAGCCCGCGTCTCTCAGAATGCTCCAGGAATTGGCACGGCTCCAGCGGCCGATGGAACACACTCCGTGAACTCTCTGACGACGAATGATACGGCAGCTTCTCTAGCTGATGGCAGTACGGGGGACAGCGAGGACCGTGGCGTGTATCTGTAGTGGGCCGTGGCTCTCATCATCGGTGGCAGACGAATAGCACTTGTACGTGAGGGGCAAGAGCCTCTGCAGCCAACCTGGGAAATGTCCGTGGTGAGCGGCATAATAGGGGTCGGTGGCGTAGTTGGTTATCGCATCTGTCTAACATTCGGCACACAGAAGGTCCTCAGTTCGAACCTGGGCCGACTCAATTTTTGTCTATTTGACCCATGTCTGCGTACTTTGTTCACTAAGAGGTTCGACCCGCAGAGGGGGAGTCAGAAGATGTGGAATGCACGATACTCTTGATAGCTATAGAAAGTACCGTCCGCAGTGTAAGATAGAAAGAGAGGAGCAGGGCACCGTCAGATCGCCGCTAAGAGTATCCGAGAAGGCAGAGTCACAGCCAGGACCAGTCGCACTTTCGCTTGATGGCAGTGATGACAGGGCAAGACTCCAGATGATTGGCCGAGGTGGAGAAGAACCAGTAGCCGAATCCTGTAAAAGCAGTGTCAAGACACCTTGGCTTTCTAATGACGTTTGCGGGTTCTGTTCTTCGAAGCGCTGGGTTGCATAACCTGGGGTTTGTCAACTCTGCGGAGGTCACAACCGACATCAGGTCTTATTTACTGACTTTCTTCGCGCCGATGTTCTTAGGAGAGCCATTTTGACCGAGTGCCTCTGCTTTACGAGCAGCAGTCCTCTGTTTTGACCGTAAGGGAGCAACGCTGATGTATGAGCGTAGATACACTTACCGGTCGCTTGACAGGTTTCCGAGCAACTTGGCTATCGTCATTCTTCGGCGGCGAGCTAGCTTTGTCCCTCTTGCCAAGAGACGACAGGGGGGATGACTTTCGAGGGGCAGTATCATCAAAGTCCGCAATCTCATCGGAGCAGTCGGTAGCCAGTTTGCTGAATTTGGGCTTCTGGATCAGATCCGCGGCAGAAGTTCCAGCGGGCGTTGTTGTCTTAAGAATGAATGCGTTGGATACGTGCACCAGGTCCGGTGGCTGGACGCCCCGTATCACGCCCTCCTGATCGGACGACAGGGCTTCATGAGCTCCATGCTGAACAGTACTGGCCTTCGCAGTGATTGTTACATCGACATCCGTCTTGACCAAGCGTGTCCTAGCTCCTGAGCGAGTCAGGACATGCGCGACAAAGTACTCACCTGCCCGTCCCTATCAGGGGCATGTGCGGGAGAGCTGCTCTGTCCCGATGACATCCAAGCCGTCGGGTCGATCATCGAACGAGCACCAACCGTAGGTGATGCAGGCTTTGCCTTCTGACGACACGGCTGCCGTTGAGTGTAATGATCACATCGACAATAGCACGGACTGACCGAAGCATTGAGTTGTTTCGAGAGGGTGGACTCCAGTAGATGGACCTTAGCCCTCATCTCCTTGAGGGCGTTGTCGCGCTGCTAGTGTTACAGGAAGTGCACTCGTTCTGCAAGTCGGCAACTCACGCGACGCAACTCGTTCCGATTGGCCACCAATTCCTGTTCGTGAACGGCTTGCGAGGTACGCACCAGCGTGTTGATGAATGCTTTCTCCTCGTCATTCTATGACACGGTCAGCAATACTGCGTGTCAGCCAGAAACATGGGATTGAACCGACGAGATCTCCAGTTCGGTATCTTGACTCAATCGTCCTCGCTCGCAAGGTGTTTCTCATGTCCGTAGCTTCCAGCGTAGCTACGCGGGTCCTTAGGGCTCGCAGCTCTGCCTCCGCATCTGGGGAGGGTAGCTGTGCCTCCCTCAGCTGACTGCGAAGGTCGCAAATCTCGTCTTCCAATCTCGTGCAGTTCGCCTCAGAGGAGCTGATACGGCCACGAGCATCTACCAAATTTTCCGTGAGCTCCTGGATATGCTTCTCCTCCTGCTTTAGACGGGTTTCGTGCATTTCGCCGAGCTCTTTGATGCGGTCGGCGTGCTCCCCCCGTAAGATTTCGAAGGTCTGTTCTTGTCGCTTGACTGCTGTAGTCATGCCATCTATCGTGGCTTGCAAGCCAAGCTTCTGCTCGCGTAACACTGCGATCTCCTGTTCGAGCTTTGCGGTGGTCTCGGTGAATTGTTTCTGTGAAGAGTTCAGCTCGTCGCACAAGCAGCATCTGCCGGCACTACACACCGCGTGCAATGCTTCAGCTGCCTGCAAACGCTCCTGGTCGATATGAGCACCTATTGCACTTCATGAGAAGTATATATGCTTACCTGCGCATCGCCCGCAGCTTCCCTCGTGATCCGGAGGGTGACAGACTGGTCTTCAAATCGTTCTTCCAGCGACTGAGACGCCTTCAGTTCCCATGCGCCGATCTTACATACTAAAGCGACCCACCTGATATTGCAAACTCGCTTCTAGTAGCCTAGTCGGGGCTTTGAGTACATCCGTAGTGCAACGGTTTATAGGACGTACCTTGTGGCGCGAGCTTCCATTTCCTCACGAGCACGCACAAGGGTAGCCTCCACACCGTCCAGTCTCTCCATCAAAGCAGCTTTCTCGCCACGGGCCGTCCGAACGTCCGACCGGGCAGCATCCTCATGAGCCTTACTCGTTCCTATGTTCTCATAGAGAGTGCGGATCTCGTTGTTCTGACGCCGCACTTCGTCCGCCAGTTGCTGGTTCCTGGTACGACTTTAGTTCCAGTCCCTTCTGGCATGACTGGGATTTCACCTTGCTTCTCGATCAGCTATCGCAGCGTCCTTACTCCCATCCAGTGATGTAAGCTCAGCTATCTGTGCTTGCATATCATTCAGAGCGCTCCGGAGTTTCGGTATTCTGTAGATTGCATGAGATGCCATAACATCCGGCGTCGCTGGCAGACGTACTCCTTCTGGGCATCCTCCAGTTTACCGATGTAGGCCTCCTTCTCAGCGACAATCTCCTGAAGCCTCGTGACCCTGAGGCGCGTTCGTTATGTGGTATGTTGCGGTAAAGCCAGCGTAGGCGGAACTTACTCATGACGAATACCCCTCAGCGTCTGTAGCTCGTCGTCTTGACTCTCCAGGAGTTGTTGTAACTCTTTGATCCTATAGGAGATGTGAGCTCACCACAGGGCGCTTCATGCTTCACATACCGCCTATTCGCCGTCCCGAGCTTCGCCTCCGACTCAGCTGCTACGGCAAGCGTGTCGTACAGTTCCCCTTGCTGCTTCTTGATGCAGGCGGCGAGCGAGCTCACTTCCTCCGCTCCAGACTCGCCCTCAGACTAGATCGACCAACACATGTATCTCGGAATGCTCACTGGTACGCGTGATGGCAGTGTTCGCGCGAGAGAGCGCAGCACGGTCTTCAGTCTGCGCCATCTCTAACTCTGCAACTCGGTTCTTCGCTTCGATCAACTCTCCGCCGACAGACTGCAGACGATCACGAAGAAGATCGGCGACCTGCTGGCCTGTATGTGATATTGCAGTAGTCGGCCGTTGATGTTTCAAACATTACTTACTCTTGGAGCATTCGAGCGTGAGGTCGCTGATAGCACTCTTGGTTTCCTTGCTCCTGGCCCATTCTTCGCCGCCTTCGAGATAAGGCTCAAGACCTGAATGCCGCCATCAGTACGACGATTGTATCATTGAACTTGCCCTTCTCACTTCGCAGTGACGCCGCTACCGTTGCACGTAGCTCTTGCACGTCAGTCAACGACGAACGTGCGTCGCTGACGATAGTGAAGGAGTTCTCTGACCGAGTCTTCAGCTCATGTACGCTGGTGCGCAACGCCTCCAAGCTAGCATATAGTCAGTCAAGGAAACTCCGAGACAGGCACATAGCAGGATAACCTCTTTGAGCTGGTCTGCAGGCTCTGTTTTGCCGCCTCCTTGACGCTCTTGAGTCGATGTGTGAGTTCATCCTTTTGCTTGCGAGCGGCCTCGACCTGTGCATGCAGGTATGCAATCTCTCGGCGCTATTCGCGTGGCATTCAGCATATATGCGCTTTGCAATGACTTGGTGGTATCGTACCTGCTCTTCGATCTCGTGCTTGGCGTTCCGCAGGTCCGTCGCGCCGCGCATCATGACGGATGAGATGTCTTCCTCTTGCCCTCCGCGGATAGAGCTCAGTACTGAGACGCTACGAGACTGAGCGCGCGGGATGAAATCATCAGCTTTGCGGAGAGCCTGTTGGACGGGAACTTGAGCGATGGCTGGTGAAGCCATCACTGCCGGGTACGGGGGAGGGTCGCGACTCTCGTCTATAGCCGAGTCAGCGTGGTAAAGCGTGCCATACACCAGCCGAGCTGTATACCAGATACAAGGCGCTGATGCAAGCTCCTGCCCGGCCTTGTCTGAGAGAAGGCACGCAACTTGCGATGTTGTCCATATGCATGGTTCCGCACCGGCTCAGGCACGCTGACGCAAGCTTCTGTTTTTAAATCGGCTCTTTGAAGGTGGTGCTGCGTTGCATTGGAGAAGAAGGGCGCAGTACTCCCGGGACGATCTATGAGTGAAGCGTCGTTTGCGCACAAGCCAGGACCATGCGGGGAGCTCGTAGATGGACGGATACGCTGATCCCGAGGGGAGCTTGCTTGAGGTATGTCTAGTTTTCTCGCAGGATATTCATCGAGATCGCCCACGGAAAGCGTCGAGTTTAACATCGGTCGCATATATCGTGTAACTGCCGGCCGGGGGTTGTGGCTTGGGTCAGCAAAGGCCCCGAGGTCCGGGATGGTGGAGGGAGACTCTTGTTCTGTAGAGGAGAAAAGGGCTTGACGCAGAAGCCGCCCGTTCATGGGAGAGGACATCGTCGTGGTCGAGGTGCAAGAAGGATGGCACGATCACAGCCGCCACGACCCTCGACACGCGCAACGCGATGGTGACGCGGTCACGTGAAGGAAGCATTCTCGTTACCGATGACATTCAAGTCATTGTCACCGACGTGCCACATCCAAGCGTCACTTGCTTGTTGTGGCTCAGGCTCAGGGCCGCGGCTTTCTTTCCTTCGTACTGTACCACTTACAGTTGAGCCACCTCCCTCTGCCCTCGGGATATCTTATATCTCCTCGCATTCCCACTGGCATCACCTCCTTCATTCACACACTCCATAGCAGCCTGCCTCAGGCATGCCAGGTATATCATCTGCTTTCGGCCAGGAGAGCCGCAGCCCGCAAGCGACGGACTCGCGGCTGGACTCACTTCCGACCAAGTTCGTTTTTGGATCAGCTCAGAAGAAGGAATTCGGGCTTTTCGGCAGTGGCAGCCCAACTCCGCAAGCTGGCGCA